GATACCCGTTGCTTTGCCAGAAGGGGACCTGAACTAGATCACACAGTCTAGAGCTCCTTCTACGAGAAGACTCTATGCGTGTAAATGGTCAGTGTTCTCCGAATGGTGTGCTACAAAGAGCCTGGACCCACGCACGTGTGGGGTTTCGTGAGTGCTTTCCTTCCTTCAAGAGCTGCTGGACAAGGGCAGGTCCCCTTCCACGCTCAAAGTGTACGTTGTGGCTATTGCAGCGTTTGCGGAGTCGACGCGCAGCCGTGCGATAGGAAGGAACAAGCTCATCATCCGCTTCCTCAGAGGAGCCAGGAGGATGAATCCCCCGCGGCCCCCTTCGGTTCATATTTGGGATCTTTCTTTGGTCTTAGAGGCCCTGAAAGCTTTTTCCTTTGAACCGTTAGAATCAGTGGATCTAAAATACCTCTCGCTCAAATCCGTTTTTCTGATAGCTCTGTCATCAGTAAAACGTGTGGGGGATCTACATGCGCTATCTGTTAGCCCCGCGTGTCTCGAGTTTGTACCAAATGACTCTAAAGTTATCCACAAACCGAGACATGGTTACGTCCCCAAGGCGATTGGCACGCCTTTTAGAGTGCAGATCATCTCCCTATCGGCTTTACCAGCATCCGATAGCGAGGACAGTGATAACCTCCTGTGCCCCGTCAGGGCGCTGAGAGTTTACATCACGCGCTCCGCCGCCTTCAGGCGTTCTGAGCAGCTCTTTGTTTATTTTGGAGGGCGCACCAAGGGTCTCGCTGCCTTGAATTATAGCCTGTCCAGATGGATAGTGGACGCTATCGCAGCAGCTTATGCGTCCAAACACCTGCAGTGCCCTATGGGCATCAGGGCCCATTCCACTAGAGGCATGGCTTCGTCGTGGGCTTGGTCCAGCGGGATTTCTATTCACGATATTTGTATGGCGGCAGGCTGGGCCTCCCCCTCTACATTCGTGATATTTTGCCCGCGTTGCTGGCCGCCTGTTCCCGCATGTTCTGCCCCACGGGCTTCCCCGGGACTCATGCAGTGGATGCTCGGCGCGCACGGCGTTGACAAGGGGTTCCCGTAACGTAAGCAACTTACGCAATACAAGAGAACCTCTCGTAAGAGAACGTACTCGGTTACCTAGCGTAACCTCGGTTCTCTCTAGAAGAGGGAACGCGTATTGCGTAAACTGCCGTGCTCGCGCCACAAGCTTATTCGCTTCAGTCAATGAAAACCAGAGTTCAGCCTGTTGAGCCCCTCTTTACATATGCTAGCCACTCCCATTCTGGCGGGCTGTGACGCGTGGAGGGCGCGACGTCACACAGGGCTCACCGGTAGGCTGCTGCAGTTGCCGCAGGACAGCCAATGAGCACGCTTACAACCTGCTATATGGTCTGCTGTCTGCCGCACTGCGTTGACAATAAATACAAAATTAAGGATCATTTTTGGCTTCAGATCTCGAGAAAAGATGACTTTACCCATAGCGTAAGCAACTTACGCAATACTCGTTCCCTCTTCTAGAGAGAACCGAGGTTACGTTAGGTAACCGAGTACGATTTTGCTGTGGATGAATAGGCTATATTTGGGTCTTTTTCAAAACTTTCCACTAATGGTATTCTTCTGGGATTTGTTTTCCTTACTCAGGACATATTGAGGATACAAAATCAGTTGAGTTTGCTTCTGTTGCAATTTGTTCAACCTTATTTCATAAAATGACTGGACTAAAGGGGCTCGGGTTCGTCGGGTTCGTCTTCTCTTTATTCCAGAGCATTTGATGTTTTGTATTGATTATCTTTGAACTGATTATACATTTACCTGACATAATAAACTGTTACATTTGATTATTCTAACTGACTCTGACAATATTTCATTAGAGTTAAAAGCAATAGTCAAACTTTAGTAGTAATAGTAATTTTTAAAAAAACGGCCGATCGAGCCGGGCTTTACAATCTTAACTTAATAGCCTAATGATTTTTGGCATAAAAGAAAAATCGATAATTTTGGCTATTGCCACAAATATACCCGTGCGACTTGTGACTGGTTTTGTGATCCAGGGTCACATAGAGATTACAAAGAACAATCAATCTTTGATTATAAATCAAATCATAAACATAATTATATATTACCTTCTGAAGGTCGTTTGTGGAATAAACAGTGTTGCTTTCTTCTAACGTGTGGCACTGTCATACTCATGGCTGGTATACACAGTCTCGTAATCTGTAAATCTCACAGATCCATTGATTATAAGCTTTATTGTCTACAATAAACAAAGCTGAAGGCCGAGATTTTTTTTTGTGATTTTATGAGTGATTATGATGCCAAAATGAGTCATTAAAAAAACAGTAAGTTTAAATAGAAAGTACATGTGCCAGAATAAATTTGTTTACACTAAAAAAGTGGTAATCTAAAAATGGTGACATCTAAATTAAGTGGTTTAATTCAAGTAAAAAATACTATTTGACATCACTGAACCATTAATTAATTTATACCAACAAAAATTGTAATGGTTTATATCAGGAAATAGTTCTTTACGGTAGCAATTGCAGGTTAGCCTACAACTTTTTACAGTGTACTTATTGTTCAACTGATAGAGTTAACAGTGCCATGGGAGGATGCGGTAGATGCGGCATATGAGAGGAAGAAACTGCGGTATGCTCATCTGGCCACTGAAGCAGAACAGCGACGATGGAGAGTCCAGGTTTATCCAGTGGAAGTGGGTTATCGAGGTTTTGTGGCACACTCTACAACCCGGTTCCTCAGAGACATCGGATTCAGCGGCCAAGAGTTGCGTCGCACAGTAAAGAACTTATCTGAAGCAGCAGAAAGGTGCAGCAACTGGCTGTGGTTGAGACGGAAAGATTCTGGCTTGCTGTGTACAGGCCGCCACGCTACGGTTTCGTAGAATTCTTGAAAACTTGAAGAGTCTGTTGGATTATTTGTATACGTTCCTGTGGATATTGCGTGAATGACGGGTGGTTGGGCAGATATTGTGTTTTGCAGTAAGTGGTATGCATGCCATACGGAACCGTTGCCACTGAAACTGCATATTAACGCACCAGTGGGGCTCGACAGCCTTAGTCAAACGGGTTGGCGCGTATGGTTGGGTTGCGGAGAGATTGTGAGATTGTGGTTAGGTCTCAGCAGCAGGAGGGATGTAGAGGTCAGTAAGCTGGGCTGAGTTGAGTGGGGGACGGAGGGGGGTGACTCTGGGACGCCAGAGTCACTGTCGAGCCCTCTTGAGGTGTCGTGGGCTAGTCGACGAAACACTGAGGACGGAAGGTGCCCACTTGAAGACCCTAGAGATGTCCCCTACTCGGCTCAATCCAGACGGTTGTCGTGCTGGTCCTGTAGTTGCAGCCGTCGTGTGCGCTGACGCGCCAAGTACACTGCAGCCGTTAACGCCGGACAGAAGGGGAGTCACACCACCATATGGAAAGAAGCATAAATGGATGGAGAAGCATAGTTTACTGTAAAGCTACGTCTTAGTTTTGCTTATCTTGGCGAAAGCCGAGTACAAATCAGCATGAAGTTTTAACATCTACTCTCGTGTAATGGAAATTGTGCTTAGTGTTTTTCTATCGTTTTAACCTCATTTTGCAATTGTATGTGTTATTTTTTTTTTTTCACAGTGAAACACCAATACAATAAACTGGCTAGAGAATGAAGTGGCCAAATAAACACTTTCTAACTAATGTAATATTGCAGCTTTCACAAGAGCGCTATTGTTCCCAATATAATCAACATGACAGTATTCTACGATTGTGAGTGTGATGGATACAACAGTGCAATAAGCAAGTGTCATAGTTTTGGACTTTTATATTATATTATGTAAATAAACCATGATATTCTTTAATATTCTGTTTTGTTTCCCTTAGTTCCTGTTTCTCTGCTCCGTTTAGTTTTGGTTTCCTTGGTTACTTATTATCTCCTCATTTTCTATGGTTACGTATAATTATCACCTGTCAGTCATTATGTTTGTCTTGTATTTAAACTCCCTGTTATGTCCCTTGTCGGTTCTCGCATGTTAAGTTGGTTTCCGATTTATCCTATGTTTCTCTCTGGTCCTGAGTGTTATGAAGATTAAATAAATACTATTCTGAGTTCCTATTCCGTCTCGTCGTGCGTGCTGTAGAACAGATTGTGACAGCAAGAAGAAAAAAAAAACTTGTATTTTTGCATTAAAGTTAAGCCAATAAATGCAGTTATTTATACAGACTCTCTGCCAGCTTTAAATAGTTTATTAAGTGGCCAGTCAACAAGACAAGAATTAATATATGAGATACTTAAAAATCTACAGTAAATTGGTATAGTCCTGAGGGTACATGCATATGTGGGAGTACAAGGAAATGAAATAGTCCACTGAGTAAAGCAGAAATAAAAGGAAAAATGAAAGAACAACATGAATAAAAAGTGGCAGGCTGTTTTTTGAACAATGACATGCAACATTAGCACATTTGAAAATGACAGTTGACTGTTTGTGCCTCAACTATTCAATCACAAAACACTTATTTAAAAAGTGAAGTTCATGCATAGGCTAGTCTACTTCTTTCCTATAATTACATCTCACATAGACATTTCTAAGCATCATCATATAACCAGTTACCTGATAATTTATATTCAAAATTTAATTTAATCATGCTGTCTACTATACAAGTAGTTTTGGTGATATTTCTGTATGTTGTTGACATTATAGGATAATTTGAGCAGCTGACAGTTACTGCTGAAAATCACAAAATGCTAATTTCATTCTTCATTAAATGAGAGAAAGACAGTGTCAATTAGCACTGGATTAATTAACAACAAGGCTGTTAACCTAAAAAATATCCAATAAGCGCAAAAACGACAATGAGGAAAGAATTAATGAGAACATATCATTTTGAAAGAACAAAGTGTTTTTTGCTAAAAATCAAATTAAAATACAATTCAAATCACTTCTTTTTGGCCCTCTGGTCTGTGGATCTCCATGATCTTCTGCAAGAATGAAAGACAGCTTATGTCAAATATAATACCAGGTTTTTGTTTTATTCTTTCACATTCCTTCATTTATTTTTATAACTATAATTAATTACGATGTTGCATTGTAAGAGTGAAAATTGTTTTGAATACTTACTATTCAACCAGTAATATGAAGTCAGATTCTGGAAGGGAAATTAATATATGAATATATTTGTGTTAACTACAATAAAACACACATTCAACTTTCACTTTGGACCGTTTTCACACATTTGCTGGTTTCAGAAGCAGAAGTTGTCATGAATGGGTAAACTTCTATAAGACTATACAGCAAATATGATTATTGCATTCCTGATTTCTGCAATAGCAAAAGAAAAGAAAAATACACGATAGCTTTCCACAAGTTTCTAAACGAGAAAAATACGGTATATAAAGAGATTGATTACAACAGTCAGAGAAAAAGGTGTCAAATTTAGCCTACCATCCCTCCCTGTATTTATGTTGTATTTATTTTTTATAAAAAAGTATAGTGTTACAAATGTACATAAAAAAATGGAAATATAAAACCTTTGCTAGATTTTTAACAGGAAACGCATCATCGCAGTTTGTGAAAAGTGTCCATGGTGATCAACATGCCTACCTTTGATTTGAAGTGCTGTGCAGTTTTAACAATTGCATTCTCATTCTTCTGACATCTCAGTAATTTGTTATCAAAAATCAGACAGTCCACTGCAAACGTGTTCTCTCTCTGTATAGCACTGTTGCTGTCTGGGATGATTCTCTCAGGGTCAAACGTAGAATGGAGTATCACCATGATGACTGGCTTGGAAGCTGTAAGGCAGTTAAAAGTGGATTGTTAATTGGATCATAAAAAAACCCAAAATCGGTTAATTGAATTAATTATGTTTTATTATTAATCTAGCTTCACACTTGGAATTTGATCAAGGTGCTTCATTGCAGCGTCAATGTCAGTTCCAGCACGAGAAACAATGGGGCAGAAAAACAGTATGGCTTGACATTGCTCATGGGAATAGACCTCCTTCAGACCAAGGCCTACTTCTTTACGAAGACTTTCCGTAAATTCATCTCCAACATAATCCATTGTCTGTCCTGAGTCCAAAATAAGAGGGGGAAAGATAAAACAGTTGAAGAACAGATACAATTTAGAATATTCCTAATAAAGACAGTGTTTTAACTACATCTTAGCCTTTCAGTAACCCAAACTTTCATTAAAACTTTATTTTATTAATCAATTCATTATGCTTCAATCGTTATGCAGCCTCATTTTCATTCATCTAAATATGAAATGTCAGCATTTTGAATGCATTTATGGTCAACAAATTACATTGTTGGCAGTTTATTGTATGGATCCACTGCATGTTTTCAAATGGATGAATATTTTTTTTAGGACTCTGGCCTGCCTATACCTGCAAATGTCTACCATTTCCTGCATATGTCATTCCATTTACTAAAAATGTATAGTAACAATTAGTGTATAGGCTACATAATGTAAATAAATATTTTTCTCAGTGGACATGGACTCTGGGCTCCACACTAACGTTTTTTTTCACTAGCCCCACCACAAAAAAAGCAAAGAAAAAAATAAAGAAAAAGTAGATAGGCCTACTGTTTTGATCATTTTTGACCCAAACTACTGCTTCCAAGACGTTATTTTTCAGCATTATTTATTTATTCATTGGCATCGTAATTAAAAGTTGCATGGGTTATCCCGTGGAATTGGGCTACTTTTACACTGTTTCTGCTTGACGTCACGTTGCTAACTTGTCCCATTATTTTACAGTGTGTTTTGATCGTAGGTGAAATGATGATGACCTGGTGATTCCCCTGACCAGTGTGTAAGGTATAATTAATTAATAACAAATAAGTAGGTAAATTAATACAAACAAGCTGGGAAATGTGCCAAATCAGTAGCCAGGCCACCGGGATTTCACTTTTCCCGGCTGTTCGCGATGGCCAGTCCGTGACTGCCTTTTATTTAGCACAGTTATTATATTAATAATAAAAACGATGGCACTTCCGGTGAAAAAGGTCGTCCTCTGTGTTCAGTCTTTTAAACAAGGCTACACCACATTCTCTGGCTACTCCTCAACGTGCATGCAGTGTAAATAAAGCCGTTACATCAATAATAGCAGTCCACGGCCACACCCCAGTACGCGATATTTTTTTCCCCAGGATGGTAGGGGAAGGTAGGCTACAGCCTTTTTCACCTCTGATTGGCTAGAAGGGCTCTCCTCCGATCGGTTATTTGATTTGGCCGTGGAACGTCATCTCTTCAGATGAGAACGAAGTTACACACACACACACACACACACACACACACACACACACACACACACTACCTCTAAACCTAACCTACCCATCACACACACACACACACACACACACACTAACCCGACCCCTAAACCTACCCATAATAATAATAATAATTCATTACATTTATATAGCGCTTTTCTAGGCACTCAAAGCGCTTCACATGGAAGGGGGAATCTCCTCAACCACCACCAATGTGCAGCATCCACTTGGATGATGCGACGGCAGCCATAGTGCGCCAGAACGCTCACCACACACCAGCTTACTGGTGGAGAGGAGACAGAGTGATGAAGCCAATCAGTGTATATATATATATATGGGGATGATTAGGAGGCCATGATGGACAGAGGCCACTGGGCAAATTTGGCCAGGATGCCGGGGTTACACCCCTACTCTTTCGAAAGACATCCTGGGATTTTTAATGACCACAGAGAGTCAGGACCTCGGTTTAACGTCTCATCCGAAGGACGGACACACTATCACCATCACACACACTAACCCGACCCCTAAACCTACCCATCACACACTGACACACACTAACCCAAATCAAATAACTGATCGGAGGAGAGCCCTTCTAGCCAATCAGAGGCGAAAAAGGCGGTACCTTCCCCTTCCATCCTGGGGAAAAAAATAACGTCCCCAGCCCACGCCGCAAATTAGGCTATGACCAAAAATAAAAAAAAAATAGAAAATCGGTTAGATTTCATTTATTCAAATGATTGTTTCTGAAGTCACAATTTAGCAAAAGTATCTATTGATGAAAACACCATTATTTTTATTTTTTTTATTTTTTTTTATTTGCATTTTTGGTGCAAATAATCTCATGCACTTAAAATGCACTTTAAAATCTCATTCACAAATACCAGGTAAAGTTCCAGTGGGATAAAAAAAAAAAATACATAGCTAAAATAAGGCATAATGAAGGACATATAGCCAACAGACTGCTACTTACTGTTTTTCTTCTTCAGAGGCTGGAAGTGTTGCGTGAGGTCTGAGCGCTGAATCATGAGTCATTGAGCAACACTTTCGTTTTTAGTTGATTCAAGCTTAATGTTCTTTCTCTTTCGTTTTGACTCAAAATTACAGCACATTAGGCTGCATGCGTCTGTTTTATAATTAGGCTGCTTACATAATAATCGGTGGCAGAAAAAAAATATTGTATTAAACAATTTAATAGTTAGTTGTATGTAAAGGTGTGTGATAGCCTGTATGGATTTTAACAAAATATTAATTGTGTTACTTTATTATTGTATAGAGTTCTCTTTCATACACTTAATAAAATGAAAACAGGCCTACAACAAATTAGAAAGTGCAAAGTTCAAAAAGAACCTGTGATCTAAACAATTAGCTTGACCCAATTCTTCTTAAAAATATCTCTGGGTTTGTTTAAAAAAAAAAACGAAATAAACTCACGTTCCAATCTGTGTTTAACCTTTACCCATCCTGTTTTAACATCTCTTAAACACATTTACAAAAGATTTAACACAAGTTCTTACAAATCATCCAGTGGGATATCTTAAAGTATATCTTATCTCAAAATGTCCCTTCCTTATAGTAACTTAAAACATTGAACTTTAACTTTAAGTTAAAGTTCAATGTTTTAAGTTGTATTTAGTAGTAGGCTATAGGCCTAATCATCATCATCATCCTCTGATCTGCTGACAGCTAGCCTACTGACTACTGAGTAGGCCTATGCACTTGTAGCCAATATATTGTTATTTAGCAGATATTTAGCAGTTTAATTATTATGTTATTTAGAGTAGTATTTACAATTAATGTTAGACACCCCGTGCAAGTCTACTGGGGCCATCTAGTGGGCCCCGGCGAATAAGTAAAGAACCACTATCTCACTGTTTTAGCCGGACGATCATGGCTCTCCAGGTCGCTAGATGTCAGTAGTGCACACTCAGATTGCCAACACAAATCAACACAAGAAAAAGAGTGGTTCTCTTACTAAACTTCCGGGCATGGCGGAGAAGAAAATAGCCGGTATGTTTGCCTTCCTGTGTTGTATGATAATAGTGCATGGTGAAAAAAAAGGGCCTAAATAAATATAACGCAATACTTTTGTAAATCTTTTCCCAGCCCCGTGTTTTATTATTTGTAGCAGAGCATGTAAACAGGCTAGCTATGCATCATCACACTATCAGCCCTATTCTGTAAACATGTAAATCCAGCTGTAGTGCACATTTAGATGATTTGTCCTCCTCAGTCCGCTCGCAGGATCCCGGCCAGCGGCGTGTGCTGGACAGCGCCACGCGCCAGCGCCGTTTGACCCGCCAGCTCGAGGCGCTCGAGAAAGACAACTTCCAGGACGACCCTCACGCGAGCCTCCCGCAGCTCGTCAAGCGGCTGCCCCAGTTCGACGAGAGCAACGAATCGAGTCGGTGTTTTGCATCATTCAATCCCCATCCATTTGCACGTATTAAATATATCGAACTGTATCCGAGTATGTTGCGTTGACGGTTGTGTTGTCTTTTAATTTTAAGGCAAGCGGAGGAAGAAGACAAGGGGTGATCATTTTAAACAGAGGTTCCGCAAAAACTTCCAGACGCTTCTGGAGGAGGAGGTAAAGCAATCGCATCTTTCACTCATTACTGCGTGCTGAGAAACTCAAACACAACCCTGTCTTTTCTATGGTAAATGTTACGGAACCTCAAAAGTAACCGGAAAAAAAAATCACAAAGAACATGATTCGTAAGACCATTAAAGGGATAGTTGACCCCAAAAATAAAACGTGGTCATCATTTACTTTCCAAGTTTTTCCGTCTTTCCAAACCTGTATGAAGTTCTTTCTTCTGTTGAACACAAAATACGATATTTTGAAGAATGTTGGTAACCATACAGTTGTCGGTAGTCAATGACTTCCAAAGTATTTTTTTCCTACAATGTAAGTTATTGGGTACCGTCAACTGTCTGGTTACCAACATTCTTCAAAATATCTTATTTTGTGTTCAACAGAAGACAGAAACTCTTACAGGTTTGAAACAACTTGAGGGTGAGTAATGATAATTTTCATTTTTGAGTGAACTATCCCTTTAAAATTGTAAATTACTCATAAATCATGGTAGCTTTTGAATAAAAGTTACTGGACAGTACTGTAACAGGATGTATATATTAATATTCAAAAGTAAAATTCCAGGGCATAATATAACAATGTAAACTTATGTTTAATTCTAAATCTAGGCTGCTGCTACTTTTCTTTTCTTTTCGGAGTCCAGGAAATATTTCCGTGCCATTCATCCTCTTACACTTTTTTTTTTTCTTTTTTTTTCTTCCAGGACTTGAGTGTTAGTGAGGGTCCAAACTATCTGACTGCATGTGCTGAGCCCTCTAAGTTTCCTCAGCGTCATTTCTGTGCAGTGTGCGGCTTCCCTTCAAACTACACCTGTGTATCGTGTGGATCTCGCTACTGCTGTGTCCGATGTTTAGGAACACACCACGAGACCAGGTAACACACTCGCTCATGCATGTGTTGCTGGAAGGCAACACACTCCCTTAAAAGTGATACCAGATAATAGTAACACAACTTACACAACAAGACAACTCAGTTTTGTTATCTGATTTCAAATCTGTATGACTTTTTTTTTCTGCGGAAGACATTTTGAAGAATGTTTAACTTTTTCTAGAAGTAAAGAAAGTCATACAGGTTTGGAAGGACATGAGGGTGAGTAAATAATGACAGGTCAAGAAGATGAAACCTAATGAAAGGTCAAGATGAAACACCAATATGGCATATGGTAAACTGATAGGACTAGGCAAGATTAAATGTGTAAATTGTGCTCCTTGTCTTTTCAGGTGTCTAAAGTGGACGGTATGATCGGTTCATCTGTCCTGAACTCCTATCAAAAGCAAAGCAAGCTTATGGGTCATAATGCACTCTTACAAGCTTATGTTTCTCAAAAGCATCACCGCCATTTACCTGCACAATAAACATATTGAGGCATATATTACTAGCAGTCCTAGGTCTGGTTGCTAAAATAACTCGGTCATGCACCCCTCTGTACAACAAATAGGCAGTACTTCAATTGAAAGTCCATTTAATCAGATGAAACGGATAGAACATTTGCCAAACACACACACACACAAAAAAACAGCTCTTGAAGTTTTGTAATCAGAGTTAATTCTGTGGCAAGTAAGCTTTGGCTTGTTCTTAAATATATAAAGAATGACAGTGGAAACTGCAATTTAAGTGTTTTTGGAATAAATCTCCCCAATTGGCAGAAAGAAAAGACATATGGCTACAAAAGCTGAAACATGTTCTATGAAAAACAACATGCTTATTCAGGGATTTCTTTTATCATAATTAAAGTAACCTACAGCAGGTACAATGGTTTTTGTATATTAAGTTTTGTAATTCAACGCAAAATATTCTTCAAGTTTTTGTATGTAAATATATGTACATAATTGTTTATCTTATTGTTATAAAATGTTGTCTGAAACAAATAAATGACTAGATGTGGTAAAAATGTGCTGGTTCTATGATCCGTTTGGCATAAATTGAGAGGTACTTTTAAGACTTTGTGATTATAAATGCCACCACCGAATTTAAGGTAAAAGCATCAAAATGCATTTCGAAATCATCCATGCATCCGATATTAAAATAATTCTGAACTGTAATAATTCCATACTATAACCCACCCAAATTCTCTTCATACATATATCCATGATGAGCACTAACATTAAACTAATATTACATTTCTAGTGCTTTAGCAGGAATTACTTCAAAACAGTACTGTGATGAAGGTGAGCAATCATTTGATTTCGTTTGTGTGTTCTGTTAAGGCACATACACAGTTCAATATGAATAGAGCATAAATTGCATTCATTAATTTGCTTCATTTTGAGCTTGGAGCATAATTTTGGAGAAGTTCTAAAAAGCTAAAACATTCACATGGCATCAGTACAAAAATAAGTAAATTTTCCTCTTCTTGTATCTGTCCCACATTATATTCCAGACAGTTGTTTCATTAACACTGTGTTTTCCAACATTTCTATATGAAGCGCAGCTCGTGTGTTTCTGCCAGTCCGCAGCTGGTCTTGTGTCTGTGGAAAAGTTCAGACAGATCCTTCATGTATAAACTGTGGTAATGATCCACCTGTTCCTGAGATGGACTTTCAACCTGAGGCACTGTAATGGGATGGCCCACTGGAAGAGACAAAGGAACATTGCAATCACACAACAGTTCACCGTTTCAGCACCAGACAGATTGGTAAGTGTCGCAACCAGAGAAATAATTTGAGAAGAAAATATTGATGTGAGAAGTCTTTCGAACTGACCCACGGTTGTGACAGGACGTCTGAATGGCAGAAGCAGCCAGCGCCCCCCAGTGAAGAGACAAGGAGCAAAACCCATAATCTGCTTAAAGAGAGCCTGTAGCCGTCGACCCACACTGCCCTCAGACAGAACCACCTGCGGGAACAGCTCGTTCTCACCAAAGGAGTACACAGGAACCAGGTCAGCCCTGAGTACACAGCAAAAGAACAATTGAGCAGTCAAGTCAAACGTGAAATTAGTGAAAATATTAAGTTGGCAGTTGCTGCTTAAAATATGTGTACATTTTATTTCATCTTTCAAGTTGCTATTGCTGAAATTTCCAGGGTTACCACACTTTTTTTTTTTTACCAATTGATTTCCATGATGTCTCCATTTCTGTTTCATTCAAGTTCTACCTCCTGTCTTTCTAGTTCAAATTATTGCCATCCTCTGTTTAGAGCAGTGTTTCTCAACCTGGGGGCAGCAAACTTTCAACGCTTAGAATGATATAAAATAAGACAAATTAGGCTTTAAAATAATGTATGCAAATAAGTTGCAAATATATACTCAGAAAAATGTAGGCCTATGCTGTCATTGTACTTATTTTAGTTTGTTCCCTCAATAACTGTCATTTTTATTTAAGAAACAAGGTTCTCATGGTCTTGGAAAACCTAGATATACGAGGGAAATTCACAAGTATGATTTATAGACCTGGAAAAGTCATGGAAATTTGTATAATGAATAGAAATTTGTCTAGTTATGTCAAGCTCTAGAATATTTTATAGGATATAAATTAGAATAGTAGAGTAGATTAGTTGCTATTTCTGAGACAAAATAAATAAATACATTTCAAAAATGCAATTGCAAATTACCAAAGAGTCATGTTAGTAAGTAAAATTTATTTATACAGCGCCTTTCACAGACTAAGTCACAAAGCGCTTTACAATAGAAAAAAATGGATAAAAAATAAAATAAAACAGATAAAATTATCAATATATAAAGTACAGAGATTACCCAAAAGCTAACCTGAACAAATGAGTCTTTACTTGTCCCCTAAAACTGTCCACATTCTCAGCAAACCTAATACTGGTTGGCAAAGCTATGGCTATCTGGGTGCCATAGGGGCAAAGGCTCTATCCCCACATGTCTTTAAACAAGTGCATGGTGTAGATAGCAGATTTTGATTAATAGACCTGAGAGACCGGAGAGAGGTATGAAAATGAATTATGTCAGCAAGATAAGCAGGGGCCTGGCCATGTAAAGCCCTATAGGTTATGGTTAGTATTTTGAATTGGATCCTGTAAGTTACAGGAAGCCAGTGAAGGGAGCAGAGTATCGGGGTGATATGGGTGCGCCTATTTGATCGATTAAGTAACCTAGCAGCTGAATTTTGAATTGATTGCAATCGATAAAGAACAGATATGTTAAGTGAAGAGAAAAGTGAGTTACAATAATCAATACGGGAGGAAATGAAGGCATGAATGAGCATCTCCAGTTCTGAGTGAGAGACCACAGACCTCAATTTACTTAAATTACGTAAGTGGAAAAAACAGGATTTGGTCAGCGATTTGATGTGGGTTTCAAAGGATAGGGATTTATCAAATGTATGTCACCCCATATAACCAATGTAAATTCATTGGTTATAAAACATATAATAAATATATGAAATTAATTTAACATAATTGCCTCTCATAGTTTCTGTAAATAAAAAAGTTTGAAAATGAGCAGCTTTGTTATTACAGCAGAAACATCTTGGTGGTCTTTTATATCATATTTGACAATGGGCGACCTTGAAGTCTCAAATGTTAGGAGCTATTGGAACCAGAAAGGGAGAACCACTGATTTAGAGCATTTGGGAGAGGGGTCAGAAATTAGATACTGGTGAAATGAAACTAGTTTTCCCAAAGGCCCTGGTTGAGAACCACTGGTTTAAACTAGGGCTTTTTATTTCAATCAACTGGTGCTCAATCTTCTTGTCTCGTTCTTGTCTCTTTCTCACCCATGCTTAAGGGCCAGTCGTACAAAGCCTTTCCTGTGTTTCATGACTACAGTGTTTACTCCTGGAGACGAGGTAAGTGATTCCTCTGCCCCACCAATGATGATGACCACAGCGTTACCCACACCAGTACGGCTCAGCAAGTAATCCAAACTCTCCTTACTGACAGGCAACAGACCTGAAAATGAGAAATAGTTGGGGAAACACTTTGTTTAATTTTGTCTCTCTCATTGAGTTTGGCTGTAGCTATTTTTTTACTGACCTGCACACAAAACATATTCTCTGAAGAAAGGAAGGCGGAAAAGTCCAGCCAGGATTGCAAGCGTGGAGCGTATTCCAGGAAAGGTTTCCGCAAATCCATTACGGTCTGTGGTGAAGCATGAGAACGCTCCCACACACATGATGCCATGAGGGTGACAACCCAAAACATAGTTCTTACTGGGATTCAGTTCAGCAGTCTTTACCAGCTGAAGGAATAGCGAGTCAAAGAGGAAGAGAGAGAGAACAGCAAGGGTAGGAGACAAAGAAGATTCAAGAGGTGAGGCTTATGTCTTTTTTTTTTCAGTAACTGGGTATAATGATTGTTATTTACCTTCACAGGAAAATAGTCTCGGAAGTGTTTCCATACTTCCCAGTTTCTCACAAACTTTGTTCTTCTGCCACCTAGTGGACATATAAATCATTAGCATTTTTTTCAATTCTATCAGACAATGAAAGCTATTTTAATATATTTAAAATTGAATTGATCTTAGGTCAACCTGTGAATTTAGATGGAAAATTCTAGGTCTGCAACTAATCGATAATGAAAATCACTGACAACGAATGTCATTATTGATTAGAAATAAAAAATAAAAATTCAAGACAAGTAAATAATAAAGAAATAAAAGACTAGGGGTTCTCAGCAAGTTTACGATCCTCTATCAAAGTACATAAGATCAAGGCATTCTTGTCCTTCATTAATTTTAACAATGAGAGAAGTAATGACACAGTTCCTCATGAAAAACGTAAAAGTTTGGAAGTGTTTTCAGGAATCCCAAGAATAATAAATTTTAACTGCCAAGTCATGCATTTCATCTTTCCTCAGCGCAGAACTTTTATTTTACGGTTATACGCAAAATATTTCCATTTTGCATTAAGGTTCTTCCTGACAGTCTGCGTTAAACTTCAGACTTTAATGAATCAATGTGCGTCAAACAGGCGCATTGGAAAGGGAGACAATTAATATTCAGCGCAAATTTTTTATTTTGCTTAAATATCTGTTTTTGGACACTAAATTTAGGTTTAAAAGTCAACATGTAATTCAAGTACTTTATGAGAGTGGTAACTGTAATGGTATAACAGCATGTAATTGAATATTTTCAGACTTTTTTTTTTTTACATTTACAGGATAAAGAAATAACAGCAACAGTTTACTGGTTTCAGAGTGAATGTGTGTGTTCCTGCAGAGCATTCCTATTATCTGTTAACACTGAGTTTGTGTTTTTATTTTTATTTATTATCTTTATTATTATCTTCATTTTTAATATAGGGATTTAAACTATCCTTTCCCTTTATAACCCTTTTTGCACATAGCTCTTTTGCAAATAGCATATATAGATATATTCACTATTTATGTTTTCATAGCATTCAGTTGGCAGGTTTGTTTGAAGGATAGCATTGGGCAGGATGCATAATAGTATGTTTTATAAATAAATAAAGAAAAAAAGAAAACTGGGCTTTTTTAAGTCCGATTAATCAAAGAAATAATCGTCCAACTAATCGATTAATAATCGTTAGTTGCTGCCCTAGAATATTCTGTGATCATATGCTCACCCTCATGTTCCAAATCTGTCTGACTTTCTTTCTTCTGTGGAACTAAAAAACATTAAGACATTTCCCAGAATATCTTCTTTTGTGTTCCTCAGAAGAAAGTCATACAGGTTTTTAGGGCTGCACGATTAATCGCAATAAAAGCGCACGCGATTTTGGCAAAGGCTGCGATTATATTATGCGCAGCTTGTCAGCGCAGTGTGGCTGGTCGGTAGTAAATGCTACGCCAAATATGCCCCGCTGCAGAAGTATAACATCATTCCAGGAAATATCTATTGCTGTAGCTGAATAAATAGAAGATTGAAACGCTTTGATTGATTAAACATGACTAATAAACACACGACTGCCTTATTCTGTGTAAGAAGCCACATCATCTCACAGAAGGATGCTCATCAACTGTCATTATGAAGTGAGTTTGGAGTAAAAGCATGTTATTAAATGTCTTTTGTTGGACAATAGGTTCATAAATGCTTCTCATGTTTGGAAAGATGTTTGACGCGTGTTGCTTTTTCAAATGCACGTTATAAGTGACTCAAACTCTCAGTGCTTTCAGATGGAGCAGTGTTTACAGAGCCGTACATCAATGACAAGCTGCACATAAAAATAATCTCAGCCTTTGCGATTTCAAAATCGCTGTAAGCCAAATCGGTTTTAGTGCGATTTCATGTAAATTGTGCATTAATCGTGCAGCCCTATTTTGAACGACATGAGGGTAAGTAAATGATGACAGAATTTTCATTTTTTGGGTGAACTATCCTTTTAACAATCCACGTGTGTTTGTGTGTTGTAGTCATAGGTTGACCTCTCTCAGGTGTTTGCCAATCATAGATCTGCCAGGAGATGTAGAGAATGGGGATGAGCCACAGAGAGGTGAACATCAAGTAGATCATCAGCAGTACACAGGCCACTCCTGCATATACACACATAAAGCATTGGTATTAATCTTACAATGTCATCTCAACACACAAGGCAATGAGCATATAGCACCCAAAAGTAACTTGTTTCCTTTTTTTTTTTTCTGTGTGTGGTGCGTGCAACAGGTCTCACCTAAAAACAGAAATGAAATCACCAGTTGTAAAACACTGATATCCTCGATAAACTCCTTCCATTGAGACTTCGCCTCCTTCCCCTTTAAATCTGAAACTGACAAAAAAGGGATAAAACAGTGGAGAGGAAGAGGAAACATTATGAGATGTCTCACGTTAAGGTTGTTCAGTGTTTTAACTGCTGAATCTGAATCACATGTCTACTCCAGTTGAACTGTGTAATTTGAGCAGGATATTCACCAAAGCAAGTGGTAAAAACATTTTGTCAAATTTTAATACTTCTAATTGTGAATAGTTTAGGAAAATGTGTGTAACCACAGGCGCTAGTACAGTATTTGAACCATTGACCTGAGCCTGTGCAGGCAAGAGACCTCAGCCGTCAGATTCACTCACTGTAAATCTGTGTCATACAAGGTGAAATACTTTCATTGGGCAATCTGGCAGTCACAGTTCAGTAGGCAGCAAGATCAGAAATGAACCTTAACTTAGCACTAAAATGCCACCAAATTTTAAATGTGGAGACACAAAAATGGCCTGTGAATGTCTTTGTTTAATTTCTGTTATCTAACATTTAATGCAATTCATTATATTCTATTACAGGCCTTTTGTAGTTATGGGTTTAGTGTCTCGGTAGACGCTAGTGGCATGTTGCTGTGACCTGTATCTGTATTCGGATACCTGTCTTGGTTTCAAAGGTGAGTGATTTTGAATGTGTAGCTAATATGAGATTTTATTTATGAGATCCATAGGCAGCAACGTCATTGCAACTTTCAAGGCCCAGAAAGGTAGTAAAGACATTGTTAAAATAGTCCATGTGACTAGTGGCGTAACCTTAATGTTACAAAGCGATGAGAATACTTTTTTACAGAAAACAAACAAAAATAACGACTTTATTTAACAATTTCTTCTCTTCCGTGTCAGTCTCCTACGCTGATACTACCTTTCTGGGCCTTGAATGTTGCTGCCTATGGCTGGTTCAGAAAGCTCTCGGCTTTCATCAAAAAGATCTTAATTTGTGTTCCAAAGATGAACGAAGGTCTTATGGGTTTGGGACGACATGAGGGTGAGTAATTGATGAAAGAAATTTCATTTTCATTCAACTATCCCTTTAATAATTAATTTCTGACAACAGTAGTTGGTAAGTGCAACTTGAAGTTCAGCAGTGAGCCGGGATCTTTTGTTGCACCTGGGATGTGTGCAAGAGCACAAAATCCATTACTCATTCGAGAAGAAGACCCCATCACTTCGTTTTCTGACAACTGATGTTTTATTTGTCAAAAACAAGATGTTTGCGAATCAATGCGGCATCATGTTGTTCCTATATCAGCATATCACAAATCTTGAGTTCTACATTTAAATTTTAAATTTAGATTTAGACATTTAGCTATAGGTGTTATCTTTATATTCAAGATGCAGACTTTGGATGTACATGATAAACAATATTTGTACAGGGAAAAAATGGCACACAGTGAAAAATTATAGTTAAAGAATAAATAAAATTTTACTGTTAAATTAAGTATGAATTATCATTATAAATTATAATATATAAATACTGTATGTGTTTTAATAGTAAAAATCACTTTATATTACTGTGAAAATCTGTAAAAAGATGTTTCCAGAAATTCTTGTGACTCATTAGCTACATCTACATGTGCACTTTGGTTTTTTGATTCTGTCTTAATCAGTTATATAGGCCTACATTGTTTTGTGAGATTTTATGTTTAGTTAATGTCTGTATTAAGTTAGTGTTTGTACTGTTACCCTGGTATTTTAATGTACTATGCTGTACATTGCCTATAGCCTACAGTTAATTAGATAATTGTTAATAAAAATACCAATCTTGGTGAACTTTAATTCATCATGTGGCTTTCTATTTTACAACCTGTCTTTATGGTGCTTATCAGCATCACAAAGCAGATTGTACTACTTCAAATAAATTGGCATATCAACATTATATAGTTCATGTCAGTTATCCCAAAATTCCTTTCATTAAATAGTTGTATTTAATGTAAACGTGGCATTTGAAAACTTGTTTCAGTGTAATATGACAATAAGCAAATATTGTTTTTAATTTGGACAATCTGACATTCTCACCCCGCATTATTACCTTTCAGCAATTCAAATCCGCGGTTGGATTTATTTTAAACACTGAAAATATAGCCTATGTAGGCTGCTACGTGCATACTTGCAACATTAAGTGTTATGACAGGCCAACAAATTTATTAATATTTAAACATTTGGGCCTAATATTTAACCAGATTAGCTTAATACAGACATAAACGTATACACTTTGCGGTTAAAGCTGCTTTTTAAATAATTTTCAAATGTTATATCATTCTCCCGTCAAATCATTTTACAGTACTGACATTTGCGTGAGCCTACCGTTATCTGTGCCCATTAAGTGGTCAATTTTAGTGATCCCTGTAGCAAACGATTCCTCTTCCTCACCTTCTCTGACTGAAGCCTCGCGTTTCTCTTGTTTGCACGTTGATCGGTTCAATTGGTCAAACAGATAGCGATTCGCTTTCTAATCGCGTCATTGTACATATATGTGAACAGTACTGGCTATCTAGTGTTTATCTCTAGCCACATGAATCTGCGTCCGCATGACTGGAAGCCGTTTAAATCACCATTTGCTTGAACATGAATCGTTCGTAAACAATGAAGAAAGCATTTTGATTCTTTGCTGTCTCCCTTAGCCACCGAAAACGCCACAAACGCCTACTCTTATACCCGAATAATAGCCTACATGGGGTCGTGAGATTTATTTTAAATATATCTGCTACCCCGGAACGAACGCTCCTCGCGCGCGTGGCCGCGTCAGACAGCTGTAGGAGGAGCGACTCGACTGTGTGTGTGTGTGTGTGTGTGCGCGTATTGACAGAGCGCGCGCGCTCTATCGCTGCATTTGAAAAATGTTGCTTACTTCCTACCAGTGCTTAGTGCTTGCGACTTGTTGCTTCATTAAGAGCTCACAGGCAATTTTTTTTTTTTTTTTTTAAAGAATAGCCTAATTAAATATGATAACTCTAGTGCTCAACTAAAGACCTAAAGCTATAAAGTTAAGAAGCTAATGTCCAACTAACATACAGTTCCCAATGCTGTCTTATGTTATAAATGTTGAAGTGCTCAATTCTTTTAACTCCGTGCTTCACCCCTTGGTGTCAATCAAAGGTTGGCATTGGCAATGTATATTTAGCCCTGAATTTAGGATAGATAATTTGATTAGACATAATTTTTATCTTACCATTGAACATTTAAATATAAACCAACATTTAGATTACATCTGAACATTGATATAGGCTACATTTAACATCTGGCTCAGTCTGTCTTGATAACGAATTGTTTAGACCAATTTTGTGTATGCCAGTTTAACTGATTCGGCAAAAAGATCTGACTCAAAAGTTGTTCACTAATTAGTTATTGCTGCTAGATTTGGCTTTTAACATATCATGAAATAAAAATTGAAGTCACCACAAAATAAAAATGGACAATCCTTGTTTTTAATGGAATATTATATTTATTATAAAGTATTTATCCAATGCACATCATTTTTGTTTAAAATTCATGTGCCTTGTAATCTTTGATCTAAATCTGTCCCCTTCCTCTTGCAGTAATCTCTTCTCTTCTCTGATGATGTGTTTACTGGCGAGAGGGAGGGATCAACCTGTCACTCACATGCATGAAATCACAGCTGTAGTGAATCACAACCATCAAATCAATTCCCAATGGTCAAAATCAAGTCTTGACCTACTTTTTTCATGTTCAAGAAGCCATTTTACTCGGATATACGTCACAACAGGGAAGAAAAGACTTATCACAACTTCCGTTTCATGCTGCCTTTAAATTGAGCAGTCATCTGAGGTATGACCCATTTCATATATCCACTAATATATCTCCAACCAAGTGAATTTGCAAGTGTAGTGTTGTCTTGTCTGTTGTCTTTATCCATCTTATCATATTAATTTATTCACATAAACATCATTACTAGTTATTTATTGACTATACCATATTTTATCATGAATTACACTTGCATCTGGACCTGTGATTTCACAACTCACCATCTGTTCAGCTGGAGGGCCTCACCAGATTAGGACCGAGTGTAACCCCTACGGTACTTACACCGCTCCGAGCTGTACTTGCTGGCCTCCGTTACTCAAGCAAATTTCTATTCTTTTTGTTTGAACTCAGTCATAGATTATGAGTCTGGAATCTGGATTACCAAACATGACACCAATAGTGTTCACAAAGCTTTAATCATAGTCATTACTCAGCAGCGCATGCTATTTTCAGTGCAAGTTCTTCTTATGTGCAAAGGCAAAGTGTGATTCATTACTGATCAATAGTAGGCCTATATTCTTGCTATCCGACTATTCCTGTGATGCAGTCTCATGCCGAATGCGCATGAGCTATGCTAATTAAATGTGTGATGGCACGATGACTGTCTGCCATCCTGAAGTGTGAGTACTTCACTGTTATTTTTATCTTTTGTTTTCATGTCTTCAAGTCCTAGTTTTCACATTTCTCCTTCATCGCTTGTCTCTTGCTCAAATCACAACGTTTTCTCACTCTAGCCATGGATAGCACACGAAGGAGAGGTGCATCTAATAATAAAGTGATGGAAGTGGATGGTGTGAGAGAGAAAAGGGAGAATGCCTAGGTTTATGGAAAAATAGGACTGTCATCAATAATGAGTTGTTCTTGCTGTTGATGGATGGTCTGATGGCTAGGTGATTCTATTGATAAGTGCCGTAACGTACCTGTTCAGGTGAATTAGGTGATTGCCTGGCTAACAAATATGTTCTAAAAACGTTGTGGGAAGTTCTGGGAACAATGATTTGCAATTTTTCGAAAATATTCTTGTTGTAATTAGGTACAACAATATTTAAAATTATACGATAGCCTATATGTTACAACATTCTCCTAATCTTTTTTTTATTTTTTTATTTTACTTCTAACATTCTTAAAACATTTAGCCTATTTGTAATGGTACAAAAAGGATAGCATTACAAACAAATACAAATAACATTATAAGGATGTTCAGAAAATGTTGTTTCAGAATGTTTTCTCAACGTTATGAGAACGCCCATCAAGTAAACAACATTATAAAAACGTTCCAAAATACGTTGGTCAGAACGTTTCTCACAACATCACGAGAACGCATATTAAATACTAATAATGTTATAAGAACGCTCTATAAATGTTGTTTATATAACGTTTTATATTAGGCTAACATTTACATAACCTTTGCAAAACATTAGTGAAAGTTGTGGGAACGTTCCCTGTTACCTGGATTTTACGATCTGAGTATCTGCGGTAGGCTATACCTAATGTTGCTTAGGTGCTAAATTCATAGGATAAACACAAGTGTATAAGTGAAAAGAAATATTAATTTGACAATAATGGAATATTCAGCAATGACTTAAATGTTGTCACGCTGACAGACTGCATACGTCTGCACACAGCGAACGTGGACAAAATTGTAAATAGCCTACGTTCGTCGAATCAGCTGTCAGAAAGGTGGAGGCAAGGGCAGGCATAAACGTATAACAACGGCATAACAACAGTCGGTGGAATTAATATTTATTATGGAGAGGGCAGAATGTCGACCCTTCGCAAAAACAGCAGCATGATACAACGTCATTTTTGGAGAGCGAGGCGCGCATCAGAACGGAGTCAGTAGCTCGGCATCTGCTTCTCCGTTGACCGACGAGCTCTAAAACAGGAATATTAATATAAGCGCGAAGCGCGCCGCCACCGCCGACATATCTGTTTATCTGCGGACTCTGCATTCATTACCTTGAAGTCGTCTCGGGGTTATAGTGAGCAGGCACTACCAGACTGCATTTGTGAATGGTTCTATGGGCCTGCTTTGAACGGATGTTTTGTTTTTTTCTCTCTAACGTCGCAGTGAACTGCACCATGGATAGCGAAGCGCTTTCTCATCGTGCTCCGCGCGGAGGGTGAATGGGGATGAGGATGTTGTTTACAAAAAGCAGCCAGCCCAGCCGTCAGCGCACTGATGCTCGATCTCCCCGAATATATACATTTTTTTTCATCTAATCTTTTATGACACGTCTGGAGATTACTGTCACCTCCGTCTTTCCTCTATGAAGAGGGCAATGTCATCGTCAGCAGACCGGCGTGGATTTGTTGTTGTCTGATTTTACTACTTGTCCTCTGCAATTCGACTTCACGCCATTTATGTAAGTCAGTCTATTTTGCACCATTTGTTCTCTGTACATTGAAGTCGGATGTTTAACTCATACAAATTGTGACGAAATTCGACCTCAATTGGTATTGACTTGTGTGTGGAAATATAATTACAAACATCTAGGAAAGGCTAGCAATACGATCTCCCACAGAGGAATTGACCAACCACCTATTAGGCTACTGTGTTTGTCAATATAGCCTATAAATATTGTTTTCGTTGACTACCTAATTCATACGTTGCAGCTAGTATTTCTCAAGACAAAAAGCTTGTCCATGAAAACAGTTGTCAGTAAAATCAGCCGTGTATTTTGTGCGCTATTGCGCCTGTTCGTTATTTTTTTTAAACGAAAAATATGTCATGGTTGACTTGTGCTTACACCTTCGATATTTCCTCCACAAAACCCGGCAGAATCCCGAAACAGTGTAAAAAGAGTAAGGTGTAAAGGCAGCGGGTTTGTGATCATTTGAGCGTATACAAGTGACGCGTCTGGAGGAGCGTCTTCTTCAGAGTCAGAGTGCGCGCGAGAGTTTTAGAGTTCGCTACGTAGGAAACGAGCCGTTAACGGGTGATTTATGAGATATTCCATCAATTGTCATTATTTAAAAGCATACACGAAGCATTTGTCTGTTTTTCTTCTTTTTTTCTATTTTTTGTCATTCATAGACTTTGGTGACGAGTCGTGTAACCTGGTCTGTAGTACCGGCGAGTGTCTCTAGAAATATTCGTCTCACGTAACGTCTGCATAAACCGCGCGTGAAGGTGGCATCAGAATGCCAATGGCACGTGCGACAAGCTACAACTGCAGCCAATTTTATTACAGTCGTGATGTGATAGTAGATGGGAGGCGTGGCTGCGCGTGAGCGTGTATGTCTGTGGCTTGAACCTGGACGTCTCCGCATATTGTGTATTCTTGTGTATTCCTTGTAAAGATTAATAGCACTAAGTTAGAATGACCAGCGGAGACATTATTCGCGGATTAAAAGCAAGAGAGGCGGGGTGAGCGCGGGGAAAGCCAGTTAGGCGAGGAGGTTTAGACTGGAGTAGCCTACACTGCAGACATGAGGAGACCAGCCCCACCTTGTCTGGGGGTTGTGGAAACGCTCACACAGGGCTTTTTTCGGGGGCCAGCATTATCATATTATGAGACATTTTTACAATACAGGATAAAAATAATTTGATTATTTGACCTTAAACCAATCCCCCTCAATTAATCAAACAGTTGTAGCAATGTGTATTTCCCTTATGGGAGTGATGCATTTCAATAAGTGATGGGTGTGTTCTCAGATTGGAGTTGGATATCAGTGTATATGTATAGAGAGAGAGACAGAGAGGTGTCTACAACCTGTTTCAGA